ATTAACTCACTCTCTCTGTTGTTGTTGTTGTCGTTGTTGTATCCTCAAATCTTGTAACTCAATTTTAACCCACTTCCCAATGTGGTATCGACTGCAAACTTGGTATACTTATGTCATAGTGATGACGATACTATATTGTATCATAGAAAAAACAATTGAAACATTTTTTTTACATGTTATGTTTCGGCTTGGATCTAATTGTCACACGGTCAACTGACGTTGGCTGTAATTGGCCACGGCCCCCTTACGTTATGGCAAGCTTCGGGGCCAGTTCCTGGAGTCGTGGAGTTCTTCCATTACTAGCACATGTCATAATAGCGTGTTTAAAAAAAGTTTTTTAAAATATTACTTATTAGTCAATCTTAATTTTGGAGCTTTCGTGACTGCAGGAATTATTCTTTGGTTTTTTCGGTAAAGTCACGTATAAAAATAAAATAATAAATTAAATAATAGCATACGACGTTTCGATTGCAACACAAGCAATCATCATCAGGTATAATGAAATAGCGACATAGAATATAACCAGAAAACTATAGACAGACATATAAGCAGACAGATATCACCAAGATACATAGAGAGAGCAACCCAGGTACAGAGAGAGGTGATCGTCTCTGTGGGGTGGCCTTAAATAGACAGAGGGGGGCGGAGGCAGAGAGAGGGAGGGGGTAGGGAAAACATCTACATGTCAATGAGTACGAAGGGAGGGGAGTAAGGTAAGCAGGCTTAGAGGGAGACAGAACACACTAAATTAAATAACCTAGAAAAGTATCGAAATGTTATGTAAAACGACACAGAGAGTCGGTCAACACACAATTAACGCATTGCCTGGTCGATTACGTATTTCAAAGATTGCTAAGTTAGAATTTAAGTGTGAAAATTCCAAAGATAGACAAAACATAAAAAAAAGAGGAACGGAGACACACAGACAGAGCAGAACCTAAGAACGATACAAAACGAGTGTAGACAGAGAAAATTACACTAAATATACAGGCAGAGAGAGAGAGAACAAGAAACCCAGAACCACTTCTACGGGGAAGTTCCAAGTTTACCTTTTTCTCTCTCTCTGGGTTTCTTGTTCTGTCTCCCTCTAAGCCTGCTTACCTTACTCCCCTCCCTTCGTACTCATTGACATGTAAATGTTTTCCCTACCCCCTCCCTCTCTCTGCCTCCGCCCCCCTCTGTCTATTTAAGGCCACCCCACAGAGACGATCACCTCTCTCTGTACCTGGGTTGCTCTCTCTATGTATCTTGGTGATATCTGTCTGCTTATATGTCTGTCTATAGTTTTCTGGTTATATTCTATGTCGCTATTTCATTATACCTGATGATGATTGCTTGTGTTGCAATCGAAACGTCGTATGCTATTATTTAATTTATTATTTTATTTTTATACGTGACTTTACCGAAAAAACCAAAGAATAATACTTATTAGTCGCTAAGCTCGGGACCCCAAAGGCCCCAAGCATCAAGCGGCCGGCGACAAACAGCGCTGTCAGACGTTTCTAGAACACCACAGACGTCGCTCGCACTCGTCCCGAGTCGAGCGAGGTCCTCCACCGTTATGAAGAGCTCGGGGGGATTGCGCCGTGGAGCAGTGGCGAGGGAAGAAGCAGAAAGACAAACGTGTGTGTGACCTGCGGTGTGGTGAGTTTGATGAGGAGGCGAGCGACTGAGTGAGTGGGTGAGTGAGTTAGTGAGACCTGTGGGAGCGGTGGTGCAGCGGTTAGCGCGCTGCGCTACGAACCCGGCAACCCGGGTTGGATTCCCGCTCACGGCCAACATCAGTGACGATTTATCTGAACCGTTCCTGTGCCTCCCCTAGGTCGACTCAGCCTCAAAATGAGTACCTGACGCAGTGTGTAAACATCGCCACTGTACCGTTCCGGCCTTCATAGATGCCACTCGCTAACAGCACTTGCCCCTACAGTCTGTTAAGGCTACACGGGGGATCTTTGTCTTTTGTGCCGTGTGGTGGTTGAACGCAGCGTGGATGAGACAACACCGGCCAGCCTGTGGTAGACTGAGGCCTCGGCACGGGTGGAAGGATCAAGAAGGGAGGTTCAGGGGAACAGTCGGCACGGTCGTAGCGAAGGGAAGTAACTGGCCGGCATTAAGCGAGTGACCGGAGTGAATTAGTGCAGAGAATGTCTGCAAAATAAATATTTTGAATGGGACTTCCGAAACATCATTTAAGTGGCCTGTTGCATCCTTCGCACATTGGGGGTGGTGGGAGGGTGCGTGCACTCTCCCACACACTCTGCTATGACATTGCCACAGGAAAAACTGAGACGTTTCATTCACCGAGCTGGAGTTTTGCCAAAATTAATTGCAAAACAAAGTGTGTTATTTTGCGTGTGCAGCCATCGTTGATCGGGCTGAGATCATCAACTTGAGAGTCCAATTTCATCACAAAATACACAACCGCCTCCTCCTCCCACATTTATCTTTTTTCTTTACGCGAGTAGTTTTTTTTATTAAACAAAACAGTCCGTGACCTTCGTCTGAGAGTGCATCTCATCAGCAAGATTTCGTTCTATAACGAGCAAGCCCTTGCCCGGTGTGATGAGCGTTTCAACAGGCCTCGCTCGAACCATTGCGAGCGAAGTACCCGATGTTCATAGAGGCCAGAACCCTTCCTGGACTTGAGCCCATGGGCTCAATTGAAGCGTTGCCTGCCCGCTGTGACTCATAGATGAAGGAAGGGGAAATGGCTTTGCCAAAAGAAGTTGGAGCAAAAGCGAAGTAGTGCCAAGCAGAACGGAAATGTTCACGCCTGCACTGACACCGAGAGACGGGATGCGGAACGCGTGGGGATTAGCGAACTGTGCAGAGCGAGCCACCAGCATATTGACCGTTAGAAAAGGGTAACAAACACAAACAACTCAACTCCTCAAGCGCCAATATCACGTGTGCACGTTAATGTTGTTTGCTTACAAAGTGAGATTTAACAAAAATACAAACAAGTAGTGGCCAGTGGAACCTCTCAATTGGCGTCGCCCGAGGCAGCGATGATAATTCCACGTTACTCTAACGCGGCATGCTCATTGTGATGTCCTGGGCAGCTGCTCCTCGTGATTATTTGTCCGGAAAAGTTGGGGGGGGGGGTGGTGGCCATCTCTCCCCAAATCGTGAAAGGTCGCCTGCGTCCTCCGTCGCAAAGCGAGACGAGCGGGCCACGCACTTCTGTCAGCTGGAATACAAATCTTCGTTTGACGTCACGTTCCCGTTCTGGCAACGTTCAACAAGAAAGAGAGAGGGAGAGAGAGAGAGAGAAAAAAAATGAAATGGCAAAGTTTACAACACGACAACAAATGTTGTGGTGGAGCGTTGACGCAGTGCGCTGTTCCGCGCGCTGCGCTAGCAACCCAACGGCATGCGCTCGATTCGCGGCCACAGCGCACATCGATAGAAGTGGAAGTTCCACATTCCTAACAGCGGGTAACAACACATCTTTACCCAGGGACAATTACCGCTGACTTCACACACGCACGCGACAGAGAGTGGCGCTCTATTTACTGACCCCGCAGGGATGGGTTAGGCTGTGGATTCGAAACTCGTCGTGCTTCGTGACTGTGAGTCACGCGTTACGATGCTAACACCGCCGCTGTTTACTTACAATGCGCTCAATGCATTTACATAATGCTATTTTCTTTTCCAAAAAAAAAGTTTGTCTGGCTGGCTGGCTCGCTGGCTGGCTCGCGTGGTGGGTTGCGATTTTGAGGTTAGAGGAAGACGCGTGGAGTCACAGCGTCTTGAGCTGTCGTTCGAGCGCTCCGCTCGACTCCTCGGGTACCCTAAGTTCGAATCCCGGCCACGGCTCGCATCGGTGGCGATTGGTAACCGAATCTCATTTACTTGATACAGCAAGCGTGGCTGTGACGGTTCCACCTGAAGACGGAAGCTTGTGTTGCCTCTGAAACGTCGTGATTTTTATTTTATTCTACTTTTATTAATTTTAATTTTTAATTTTTTACCTACGTGACTTTACCGAAAAAACCCAAGAATATGAACCGAACCGGTGCTGAACCCTCCTCCCTCTCGTCGGCAAAGTTGCCGTGGTGCAATGGCGAGCGGCACACTGGGCTTACAATGAAGAGGTCAACCAGTTCTTTCTCCCGGCGCGGCAGTAGCAACAAGGGACAAGTTTCTTGACCACCACACCACCCTCCCCCAAGGGGCCGTCCATAAATGACGTCACGCACCTAGTGGGGGGGGGTCATACATTTGTGACGATGTGTGACGTTCTACTTAATTAAATTGACTTTTTAATAAATGTTTTCTCCTACAACATCGGAGTGCAGCGCCACATTAAATACGCACTACAATGGCAATAGTTTAAAGCGATTTGAAGCATGTTTTATTTTTGGGGGGGGGGGGCGAGCTTTGTGACGTCATATTTGAGGGGGGGGGGTCTGACTTTTTGTGACGCCGTGTGACGAAGGGGGGGGGGGTCAAAAATCGCCCAAACCCGCGTGACGTCATTTATGGACGGCCCCCAATGCCTCTGTCCACCCCGCAGTATAAGTTAGTGCACTCCAATTAGCAACGCATTGCGGGGTATGGGATCCTCCCACGTGTCCCAAGACGTAAAGTCCAAGCGCGTAAAAGTAGACCAAATGCCCCCATCCCTCTCGTGGCGATCCTTAAGGCCAGCAGCGGCGCGGACAGGTAATTGCAGGGCCTGCACCTTTGCCCGCCCTCCCTTCACCGCTCCGCAATGACCGGCGCACTGAAGTCACAGGAGCCATCCACCCCATGGACACCGTCCACGAGTCGACGAGTGGAGCGACTGACAAAGGGGGGGCGGGGGGGGGGCGTTACACAACAGAGGGTGGGGGTGGGGTGAGATGGGTGGGATGTTTATTGTCTTTGTTATTCAGACGGAGCGCGCGCGTTGGACATTTCCGAAGTCGCCTTCTTTAAAACCAGAAGTGAAAGAAGCGCCTCGGCCGTGCCTGTCCCTCCCTCCGCCCTCTCTGCGATCCGCCCCTCTCTCCCCTTAAGCCAAATCCATTCCCTCCCTGCCTGCCTTACTCACACAGCCGCATCATCAGCAGCGCAGCCAGTGAAGTGTGTTGTTGTCTGTGTGCGCACACTGCAGACGCACTCGCAGACAGACGGACAGACCGCGCGCGTGTGGGGACCTCTGTCTGCTTGGGTCGTGGATCTCCGCCGAGATGAAGATCCCCATCAGCAGCAGCAGCATCTTCGTCATCTGGCTTGCAGCCGCGCTCTGTGGAAGCCTCGGTGAGAACGACGCGTGTCCAACTTTGATCGACATCACTCAGTGTCGTTCTTGCAAGTGTGGGTGATCGCATGGCTGCAGTGATGATGACGTGTCTTTAAACAGATATTGTTGTTTTTGATTTAAAGCTTTCGTGACTGCAGGGAGTCATATTCTTGGTTCTTTCGGTAAAGTCACGTAGAAGGGAAATAATAAAATAAAAAAATATAAAAAATATTAAATTATTTTATGATTTCCCTTCTACGTGACTTTACCGAAAGAACCAAGAATACAGATGTTGTTGTTGTTGTTGTCAAGCAGTTCTTGTTTTGTCTCGAGCTCTGTAGGCGCGTGGAACGAGCATGCTCCACTTAGTAATCCGTGTTTGGATCATCATCACCATTGTCACCAGCCACGGTTAATTCACTGCTGCATAGAGGCCTCCTCCTCAGGCTGTCTCGCGTGATCATCCTGCGATGTGACAATAATCCTGGACACGAGACGATCTCACATGTCTCCGCCTTCCATCCCGTTCGCCGTCATCCGTCAACGATTCTTGACCAAAGCGGCCAGCCGCGACCTACGCTCGCGGCGACAGTGACCTGGCGCACACCGACGTTCGAATGAAGTTTCTCCTTATTTTTTTGCTAAATCATCTTAATTCGTTCGCGTGCGTTCTCCGATCCACGCGGCATCTTCGTTCCTGTCGCTCGATGTGCGTGCAAGGGTCAAGCATGGTGTCGGCGCCTCTTGATGGTTTGAGTTTTTACTCGCTTCGTGATGCGCACGTTACGACGCGTTGGTGACACGTGCGCGCGCGCGTTGTTCCGTCTTTAAAATGTATCGTCACATCACGACCGAAAGCTCAGAACGCAATTAAATACGGTAGTTAACTAATAACGTCTGGCGCAAACGATGATAACACTCAGGCGCAAACTTTGAACAAATGTCGCACGAGTCAACACATCGCTTCCATGACGTGCAAAGTGCCGGAACGACGGGTTTATACTTCGATTTAAAGCTTTCGTGACTGCAGGGATTCATATTATTGGTTCTTTCAGTAAAGTCACGTAGAATGGAAATAATAAAATAATAAAAAATACTCTTTTTTATTATTTCCCTTCTACGTGACTTTACCGAACGACGGGTTTATACTTTACTGCCGCTGCGTAATGGTTAACACGCCGGACGTCAAAAGGCTTCAATCTCCGGGCGCGGCAGCTGAACACGAAGCGCGATTTTTCTCAATTTCCACCGGTCCCGTGTCCATCCAACGCGGCGGTACAATGCTGGGTAAGAGCCACGGCCGCTCTGTGACCGGCGGGTCGCGTGCGATGGGGCAAAGAGTGAGTGGGCACTGCCAACCTCTTCCTTAGACGCCTGTGCTGTAAGGAGGTGGGGAAGGGAAGGGGGGGCTTCTCTTCCCATGGGCCCCCCTTGCCGTGGAGGAGACCTTGACTGTGTCAAGCGGTGGCACGAGCGAGTAATTGCAGGGCTGCGCCTTTATCTGGCACTGATAGAGTACAGGAAGTGCATGAAACACGTGCGCGTGCGTGTGTGTGTGCGTGCGTGTGTGTGTGCGTGTGTGTGTTCGTGCGCGCAAACTGAATGTCCAACAGTATTGAGAGACGTGGTCCCACAGTAACCTCAGAAAATGCCAGAATGTTACATGCCAAGATCGCGTGTTTATTAAACTAACATCATTTGAGTACAGTAGTAGTCATAAAAACATTTTTTAAACTCCCCATGTTTGTATGGGGCTGCACGCGGTTAACCAACTTAACACGATGACAACAAGACCCCCCCCCCCCCCTTTGTGCCCCGTCGTGTCGCGAGTGTAAGCTCACGAAGCAGATTAACATTTCCTAATCGACGAGCACTGCGATCCGGTTATTGTGAGCAAACCACTGCGTGCGTGGTCTGTTTGTTGTCGCTGCTGTTGCGATGCATTAAATTCGGGCGTTCTCGGGAGCTTCAAGATTACGCCTGAAAATCCCCGGCACGAGGTCAATGATGACACCCCTACCACCACCACCCCCTCCCATCATCCACGGACATCTCTCCAAGGATTGTTGCGTGGGGTTCCCGTCGTGCCCGCGGTACTTGCAGCATCACATAAAAGCAGGGCAATATTTATCCGTATCTGCGTTTTCTTTTTTAAAAAGTATTGTTTGTTGAAGGTCTTGCCATGGGTAAGGGGGTGTCGTGGCATATATGCGTGTTGCTGTTGTGTGTGCGAACATCGCCACGCGAGAGACAAAGGCGGCCGGGCGTGGTGTTGACCACCCGCCCCCTCGTGTGCCGTGCCCTTCCTTCATTGGTTGCCACTCGCTAGCAGCACATGTCCCAACAGTCTATCAAGGCTACACGGGGGGTCTTTGTCTTTGTGCGTGAACAGCTGAAGGAAGCACAGTCGGATGAGGACTGTCTTCAGATGTCGTAAGAGAGCCAACAGCTGTTGATGTCCGTAACGAACACGGCAATAGCACGCGAGACGAGCCATCATGTACGCAGCCACTGGCTGTACGTGAACGAAAACACAGATCCAGTGGCAACCCACTTGGGATGAAACCCGCTCATGCAAACGGGATTGATACCGTGCCTCCAAACATTGCGGATTGTGAGCCTGAACCGTCACCCATGGCAAGGAGTTGGCTCGGCCGAGACCGATTCGCAAGAGATGATTGCGTGAGTCGACTCGTTGTCTTCCACGTGTAGGAGATGAAGGATTTTCTTGTTGTTGTTGTTATTTTTGAACTGCGGAGGGGTTCTCTGCACTTTGAATCTCGCCTGTAGCCCCCACTGATGTCTTCTTCCCACCCCCTCCCCCCCAATGTGGGCAGATACGACTGGCTATTGTATGTAGGGTGTGTAGGTGTATATTGTATGTAGGGTGTGTAGGTGTATATTGTATGTAGGGTGTGTAGGTGTATATTGTATGTAGGGTGTGTCGGTGTATATTCCTAGAAAATACATTTCTTTTTTTATGGAGGTCGATCATTTTTGGAAACCTGTTGGATGAACTTTCTACCCCGCCCCCTACATCTGGCGGGGGGCGGGGGTGGTTCCTTTTTCTATAACTTTTAGATGCAGGCTTTCTGAAAGAATCTTTATCATTTAGTGAAAAACGGAACGCCGGGCTTTTATAATTGATGAGTTATCACAAACAGAGCTTTTGACAATGAGATTTGGCCCAGCTGGGAGAAATCAAAGCACATCTCGAGATTTATTTTTTCTACTTTACGAGTAGCTGGTTGTCAGTGAGCTTTACTTACTCTTTGAAATTTGATTTAGTATCACACTCACCCAAACAGTACCCAATACACTGAGTGATCAAATATACGACAACATCTTGGGACTGAGCATTTTTTTAACTCTCCAGGACGTGAACTTTTATCGCCCTAGATTTAAAAAAAAAACTCCAAAAAGTGTTTTTTTTCGTTGTCCGTTTTTTTATGGTTCTGGATTTTACCATTTGTAACCAGATGCAACCCTACGTAGACTTCTAACTAACTTTTTAAATTTGACCAATTAAGGCCAACTGAGCTATATATAGCTCTTATTCAGAAGCGACCTGGCCACAAATGATAGCTCAACGAAATGGCTTACCACGTGGACATTTATTGCAGCTAAATACTCTCACCGCACGTTTCTAAACGTGACCATACCTGTGCCAAATGTTAACTCTCCAGGCCATCTGGAACGTCTTTAGAGGTTTTGCCAATCAGGATGGGCCATGTACAGCATATTGCTCACAAGAACACACTGATTTTTTTTTAAACATGTTTCGCGAGAGGAAGTGCCAGTCACTCTTTTGTAGATTTGTTTATTTTTTTTGTTCAATGCTGCAGTTAGTCCAACTCGGTACGTTATTTCACCACGACCTAGGCTCAACTTGCTGCCCGTTAAAAGATGTTCTGTCTAAAGCTGTTTTTGTAACTAAACGTAATTAGTTGGATGACGTGGTTTAAAAAGGGTCGCCACATGTCCTGCATTTCCCAGGATCACCCTCTTTCATGGTAGCTATTCTGGGAAATCTGTAAATCTTCTCGCGACATTAAAAGTCTGGGTTTTGCTATAATTTGTGCAAAAATACAGCGGTCAGGACAAAATACATTTACACGCACAACAGGCCTCTGCGACGCCGGGTACTGTGAGATGTAATTTTGCCTCTGCCCCCCACAATCGCGTCCCAGATTTCTTGTGACCGCGCAGAGGCGGGCGGCATCCTCGGTCTTGCGAACGACTCGGGGTCAGAGCACGGCGCGGGCCACTACGAAGCGCCGTTTAAAGCAAACGACGTCGGTGGCGACGAGCTTGAAACGACGCAGACCCCCGCAACTAGACGTCGCTTCCCTCTCTCCGTGCGTGCGCGGAGCGACGGGGCACATCGCCGAGCTTCCGTGATCTGACACGACAGTGACGACGACGATGACGATGACAACCGCGAAAAACAAACGCAGCAGCGAGGTTTCTGTTCCTCTCCACGTATTGGGGACGGGGGGGGGGGCCTTCCAGACTTTACCACTTATATTAAGCAACAACAGGAAACAAAGCATCGACCAGTTTCTACCCCTTTTTGGGTCTTCTCAACAGAGCCAGCCTTGGCTAAACAAATACCGCGCTTACTGTATACACGTCACTATTTCAACTCTTAAACTTTTTTTATTTTAACAGGTAAGGCCCACTGAGCTGTGTAGCTCTTTTTCAGAAGTGACCTGGCCACAAATCATAGTCGAAGTGGCTTACCGTGTGGACATTTATAGCACCCAAACACACGAAACGTATGTTGATTCTCAATGTGGAGGGAAATACTGGAAAGTCCACACCACCACGGGTAGAGAGACGTGCAAACGCAAAATATACAGCAGGCACCAGGATCGGGATCGAACCCATGACCTCCTGCATGCCGGGCGAGGGAGATAACATCTTGCCACCAAGGAATTGGCCAAACATTACAGTGCAGGACCCTCCTTGTAAGAGTATCTTCAGACTCAAGCGAGGCTCTCCTGGAAAAATAAAT